GTGTTCGGGGTCAGTGTTTGATTAAACTTTGAATTCATTAATTTGAACTGCTGGAAAGACTCTACAATGTCCCAGTGATGGAGTGGATCCATTGGATGCTGCTGAGCGTGAAAGGATTTTTGGATCTCGTACATCTTGTGCATGATCTGCCCTCCCTTGTTCATCCCATCCTCATTCAGATCAATAACTCTCTTCATTATTCCATTACTGCTTTTTGCTCTCTGTGAGATTTCAGTGGGGTTGGGCTGGGCTGTGGTGTGTTTATTTTAAGTTGATTGAAGTCAGCTTGGACTTGAAGCCACATTAATGTGGAGCCCTCAGTGTGGTGCTTCTTGTAAAAGTTCTTATTTTGCTTTGGCTGCTGTGGTGGGTTTAGGCAGTGGATGAGTTTCCTTGGCTGCTTGTGTGTGTTCCCCTTTCCTTTCACCCCACCTCCCCCTTCTCTCACAGGGCTGGAGGCTCCCAGGAGGCTTCTGTAGTGTTTGTAAACAAAAACTAAAAAACCAGATCAAGAGGATGGCTGTAGGTGGGTTTGGTGGGGGAGCAGGTTAATTCTTACTGCCTCAGGGAGCCTTGTTGTTGTAGAGCTGCTCTCAAACATCTGAGGGAATTCCAGAAGGAAATGCCCAGAAGGGTGGGTAGGGAGCAAAGAAGATTTAGAAAATTCCATTTTTTTCTGGTACTAAATCAATGGTATGAGTTGAACACACTGATTACTGGATATCAAGCTGGATGGGGACAGTAGGCAAAGAGTTGACATGAGTGTCTCTGTTTTCATCCCTTTACAAGACTGGAAATACAAGAGAAATCAACCATCCTGGAAACTTGGCAGTATTTTAGTATTGTTGGTATCGATGTGAAAGCCTGGAGAAAGCAATTCTAAGCAGGTTTTTACTACTTCTCTTATTGAAATTAATTAAAGATGAAACCTGTTGAAAAAATTACCTGTTTTGGGATGCATTCAGAGGAACATAGTTGCCCTTGGGAAGAGTTAAATATATTAAAGTAATTCACAGAGTTCTGATTTGCAATTAAGAAAAATACTTGTGTTGTTGTGAGTTAGGAGTGGTGGATTAAAAACAGCTTCCACTTGAAATCTGAAGGTTTTTGCAGTGTTCCATAGTGATTTGCTGCTGGATTATGAGGCAGGGTTTTTAGCAGCCTTTCTGCTTTTAGGAAACCAAAATCAACTTTCCCTCCTGAGTTTACTTCAGTTCTGTGCTTTCTGACATGCTTTGATGTCTGTGGTCTAGCTCAGTGTGCCTTACCTACACCATAAGCAGTTAAAAGGATTGCAGAGATGCTGCTCTCATTAGTGTTCTTAAAGTCTTGGACAAATCAGGAGATCTGATGTGCATGTAAGGGGATGTGCCTGCAGTTGTAGAAGTGCCAGTGAAATCGGTGTGCTTGCATCTCCCTGCTGGGACAGAACCTTCTCCTGGGCTGCTCCTGCTGGGAAGGGCAGGTCCTGGAGCCTCCAGGAAGGTTCTTGTGTCCTTGGTTTCACCCTTGCTCCTGCCTTGCAGTGCCCTGGGCTCCCACTGGGGCAGGAGCAGCTCTTCCCAGGACAGGGAGCATTCCTGGCATGTGCCAAAATTCCCATTTACAGCAGTGCTGGGAGAGCTGCTCCCAGGGCAGGTTCCTGTAGCTCCTGCACATCCATCCCTGAGCACATTCCTGAGTTTCTGTCAGTGCTTTGTGCTGCTCCTCAGCTCCTGAAAGGCTCAGGAGACCCCATGGGAGTCTCCTCTTTCCTCCCTGAATCACAGGTCCTGGCAGGGAGGAATGGCTCAGGTGAGAAGATGAAATCCATCTTCCTTTGAGCAGGGCTGGCAGTGCCAGGCAGGCTTTTCCTGCCTGCCCCACTGGAGACCGGCAATCCAAATTTCCAGACAGGAAAACTGGAAAAAGAAAAAACAATTGGATAGGAAACTGTTCCTGCTTCTCCCTTCAGTGAGGGTGAAAGGAAAAGCCAAGCTCCATTTGGGCTGAGGGCTGTGTGTGGCAGCAGATGGGGGACAGGAAATGTGTGATTGGAAATATTTTTGATGTTCTGCAGAAATGTGGGACCAAAAGCAGAATCTGATCTGAACTGCATCATGAATTGGGAATAGGATATATCGGAAGGGGAAATGTGGTGCAGAGAGTTGTGGAAGAGGGGTAATGAATATTTTTGTTCATGGTTGTTACAGGTCTTGAGGTGTGTGATAGAAACAAGTGGAAAAATGAGCAATATTGGTCCTCTAAAATACAACTAAGGAAGCTTGAGAGCCCACTCCTGTTGTCTGCCGCTCTTCTAAAATAGTTCATAATTTCCTGTGGCCTTTTAGGTCCAAAGCATGATTCTCCCTGAGTTTCTTCATGCAAGTACTGATATCCACAGCAGCGCCTGGGGGTGGCTGGTGAAGTTTGTAGGGTGCTGAATTGTTCTTTTTTTCAGGACCTGAAGCAGAACTGTGTTGCTGTAGTTAATGCTGAGGGCAGGGTTTTGGTGACATGTTCTGTAAGGCACAAAGGAACTGCTGCACAAAGAGTTTCAGCCCCTGTGCAGGGTTTCACGTGGTGTGGTCAGAACTTCCTGAAAGAAACTTCCCTTTTCTCAGCTCTTTGCTTCAGTGCTGCTCTTGACCTCTGCAGCAACAATTTACAGCTCAAAAATCATACGAAGCCATCTCTGAGGACATAAGAAATCTTGAGGGTAATAATTAGGCTTGAGTGAGATGATAAACCAGTCTGACCTTCAGAATTTGTATGAATGTGTCTTATTCTAATTCAGCAGTGATTTGGAAAATAAAATTGATCTTTAAACAGTAGTTTTTACTGTGTGCTAATGCTTTTGGAAAGCAGAATTACACTGGGAATGTTTGTACCAAGACTAATGTGTTTGATTTGTTTGATGCAGAAAAACAACGTAGTAAGTTCTGCTGGAGTAGAAATAGGCTAATACTTCTGTATTTACTTTTATTTTCTTATATAAGGTTTTTTTTTAATTGAAACTGACAGTGAAAACTTGTTTTTCACAGAGGTTATATAAACATTTGAATCTTAGTTTGTCCTGAAATACATTCTCACTAAACTTTTTGCAATAAACTTTGTTAGCTCACAAATGATCTCAGGTTTTGACAGCTACGAATCTTTTTTTCTATATAAATGTTATTTCAGTGTGATTTTCTCTGCTTTTCCCCCTGCCTTACAAAATTAGCCACATCTGTATCTTTTCAGTACATTCTTTTCTAGTACAAATGGTTTTTATTAGATTTGGCTTTTATTAGATTAAAAGACCAGGATATGAGATGTTTAGTGGCTCATATATTATTGGAAAGCCACTGTTGGAAATAAAGGGTGTTGAGACGTGAAAAAGGAGTGTAATGTGCTAAATGAGAATGGCAAAGCCTTGAATTTGAGTTTTGATCTCTTGAGGTGTGTGCAGAACACTGGGGGCACTTTGTGTGCAGGTTTTATTTGAATGTGGAGGTGCAAAAATTGGGTGTTGGATTACCCCTGGCCAGAATCCAGCCTGTGGGCTTTCACTTGGATCAAAAGGCTTGATTTTATTCAAGCTTTCATTGGTTTGGCTACTTCAAAACCAACCCAAATTAGCCTTACAGGGAGGGGTTTTACATCTGTAGAATTTAACTTTTCTGATACCTAGAGATTACAGATCTTGAGCTTCTGTTTTGTTGTTTTCCTGAAATATTTTGTGTGTTTAACCCAAGGCAGCACTAAAAATCAAGTTTAGGTTTGATTTGTTATGGATGGAGTAGTTTTGATGGTAAATATCTGAAATTTTTGTTCTGGAAGTCTGTATACATCAGTTGCTGGATGGCTTTCAGTTGGTATTCCCTACAGAATTTTGTCTCTCAGTTGTGAGAAAACCTCAAAGTTCTGCATATGGGGAAGGTTTCACTGTGTGTGAAAGCTCTTGTATGTGTAGCTGCTGCAGTGCTGGTTATTTTTCATATCCTGCTCTTGAGATGTGTTTGGTTTGTTGAGACAGGGAATTTTGAGTTGGATTATTGCTGCTGTGCAGTGAATCTCCTGTGTTCTGAAGCCATCATTAATTTTAGCACTTGAAAAAATTAATGCTACTCCACTGCTAATGTAATTAATCTCCCTGAAATAAGTCCTGCTGTCCTAATTGAATATCCACAACGGAGCTGAGCATCACTTAATTACACTTCTCAAAGTTGTTTTAGTGTGTAAAAATACCCAATGGCTTGGAAAGCTTCTTGATTATATTCTCAATAAATTGTATAGAAATTTAAGATCCAATGGCACTTCTGTGAAGTGTGAGCCACTACCTAAGTTATAAATAGGTTTTCAAACCTTTATGGGGGTTGTTCATAGACATCTTTAAATGTCAGTTTGGTTCATGTAGTAACTCCTTTGCAGCTCTGCTGAGGATTTAAAACTAATTTAGTGATTACAAAGGATAACAAAGCAGGATGCTGGTATTTTATTGCTTCATCTGCCTCCCTGACCTCATGGAAATAGATTATATTAGAATTAGAAATCTTCCTGGGCTACCTGGGAGAACACTGAGGCATGCTGTGGCATTTTCAGGAACATCCCTGAAGTCACCCCAGCTATCTGGGCACAGCTCTCTTAATGCTTGTCTTCAGACAGGCTGGCCCATAGACTGTTCTAAAAAATAATTTTAAAAAACCAAGTGTCTTGAGTTTTGTTATCTAAAATCAACAGGGGGAAAAATTAAATATTTGCTTGGGGACAACAAATGACTTTGCTAAATATATAGGGAATTTTTTGGGAAGAAATAAGTAGGAAAAACTGAGTATGATGTAGAAATTAGGGAAATCCCCAGCTGGGTGGGGAATCCTTTTCTGTAGAGGTCTGTGGGGTTTTTTGGGCTGGTTTTTAATGACAATGCCAACCTGGAATCCTGTACCCAGGTGAGAGGAGGAGCTCTGTGCTTGGTGCTCCGGGCAGGTTGCTTTGTGGGTTTTGCTGGCTCAGAGCCGCTGTCGTGCTGTGTTTTGCAGTGGGGGTGATCCGCTGCCCCATCTGCCGCCAGGAGTGCCGGCAGATCGACCTGGTGGACAACTACTTCGTGAAGGACACCTCGGAGAGCCCCAGCAGCTCGGATGAGAAGTCAGAGCAGGTAGGGACCATCCTGCCTGCCCCAGCCTCCGCTCTCTGGGGCTGCCAGTGCTCCCCAGGACAATTCTTGTGGCTTTCCCCACCCCTCCTCTGCCTTTCCCCCAGCCCTCCTCTGCTCTCTGGGGCTGTCACTGCTCCTTCGGTGCCTTTTCCCCACCCCTCCTCTGATTCCTGGTCCTGCCAGTGCTCCCCAGGACAACGCTGGTGCCATTTCCCCACCCCTCCTCTATTCTCTGGGGCTGCCAGTGCTCCCCAGGACAATTCTTGTGGCTTTCCCCACCCTTTCTCTGCCTTTTCCCTCCTATTTCTGCTCTCTGGGTCTGTCAGTGCTCCCTAGGATGCTTCTGGTGCCTTTCCCCCCAACCCTTTCTTCTCTCTGGGGCTGTCAGTTCTCCCTAGAGTAATTCTGGTGCCTTTTCTCCACCCCTCCTCTGCTCTCTGGGTCTGTCAGTTCTCCCTAGAACAATTCTGGTGCCTTTTCCCCAGCCTTCCTCTGATTTCTGGGTCTGTCAACTCTCCCTAAAACAATTCTGGTGCCTTTCCCCACCCCTGCTCTGCTCTCTGGGGCTGTCAGTGTTCTCCAGGACAGTTCTGGTAATTTTTCCCCACCCCTCCTCTGCTCTCTGGTCCTGTCAGTGTTCCCCAGGATAATTCTGGTGCCTTTTCCCCAACCCTGCTCTGATTTCTGGGACATCAGTGCTCCCTAGGACGATGCTGGTGGCCTTTCCCACCCCTCCTCTGTCTTTTTCCCATCCCTCCTCTGCTCTCTGGGTCTGTCAGTTCTCCCTAGAACAATTCTGGTGCCTTTTCCCCAGCCTTCCTCTGATTTCTGGGGCTGTCAGCTTTCCCTAGAACGATTCTGGTGCTTTTCCCCCCAACCCTTTCTGCTCTCTGGGGCTGCCCAGCACAGTTCTGGTTTCTGTTCCCCCCCAGGTGTGCACCAGCTGTGAGGACAACGCCAGTGCTGTGGGTTTCTGTGTGGAGTGTGGGGAGTGGCTGTGTAAGACCTGCATCGAGGCTCACCAGCGAGTAAAGTTCACTAAGGATCACATGATCAGGAAAAAAGAGGATGTGTCCTCAGGTGAGTGCTGCCTGTCACTTTGTCCTGCCTGTTCCCAGAGCCTTTTCTCTTTATATGTTAAAAAAAAGTGGGAGGATGATGGAGGTAACAACCAGCTCTGTGTGTTTTCCCCCCAGGATTTGGGAAAAGTGCACTAAAAAGTTACCAGTGCAAAATTAGTGGCTGTAAAAATAGAGGAAGAAGTAAATTTATAACAGTGATACTTTGTGCAGTTTGTGTCCAAATGTTTTTGGAAAGGATTTAGATCCATTCTTAAAAATATTTCTGTTTAGTAGAACAAGTAACTAAATGGAGGGGCTGGAATCTGGAGAGCAGTGGCATACTGATAATCTTACCCATTGTCCAAGGGAATTAAATCACACATTTTGCTGTATTTTGTTATGAGAAGCAGTTCTAGTTCTCCCTGTAGAAGTGTATATATAAGTTTATATATAATTATATAGTTATAACTATATATTTTATATAGTTACCTTTAATATATGGTGTTACTTTGTATTGATATTGCTGAGTAAATGCAGAATTTGAATCTATTTTAGGTTTAATCTCTCAGTGAACAAAATGTAATATGTGAAGTGTGTGTAGGGTTTGTTCAGGTGTGCAGCCTTATTAGAAGTAAATTCTTAAACTCTTGTTTGATCATATATCATTTGAAGCCTATTGAGGTAATGTGGAAAATCATCTCAGAACAGGTCTGGGCTATCTGGATTTTATCATTTACAGCCTGTTGAGGTAATGTGGAAAATGTTCTCCAAACAGGTCCAGGGTATCTGGATTTTAGATTAGAAAATTCTAAATTTGTAAATGGGTTAAAAGTTCTGATTTAAAGGCTTGTAGGTTCTTCACAATCTGGATTTGTCTGAAAATGATCATGTTAAGGAATAGAGATCCCAACACTTTGCTCTCTTCATTTAAATTAATTTAAAATTAATTAAGATCTCCATCACTGTCTTGTACCTTTTCAAAGGAACAAAAACTACTTTTCTTTCCAAAAATGGTTTAATAGTTAAAAAGTTTGCTGTTGAGCTTAGTTCTTTTAGACAAGGATCTTATTTCATTTGCTCTGTCAAATAAACCTCATTTTGGGGAGGCTTCTCTTTATGTCTAAATGAATATTTTTAATAAGGAATATTATCCATTCAAGATTCAATGTATTAAGCCTCATACATGAGAAACCCTTAAATTCAATCAAATTCTAGGGCCCAAGAAAGAATTACTGATATTCTTTTAAGGAATGCTAAATTGTGACTCTCATTATGATATTACAGCTCAGCTTTCCCTTTCATACCTGCTGGAAGGGAGCTGAAAAGTGACTGTGCCAAGACTAGAAAGTTTATAAAGTTTATAAAATAAACTATTATTAAACTAACTAGTTAGTTAACTATCTAGTTAGTTAAACTAACAAAATATTTTTGTATTTAAATAAAATATTTTTTATATTTAAAAATGTACAAATATTTTGAATTTAAAATATAAAATATTTGATAAAGTTTATAAAATAAAGTTTATTAAAAAAGGTTTATAAAATAGACTTGCTATCAGAAATTTTATTTATTGTGATTGTGGGGAAGGGCTGGTCATTGTTTTTTTTTCTTCTTAGACTCAAAGATGTGCCCTGGAGACTTTAAATTTCTCTCAGTGAGTGGCAGCTGCAGGTTCATCAGCTCTTTCTTTACAATAACTTGCATGATATAACCAGCTTCAAAAACATTGGAGAGGGAGGGAAATTAATTTGAACCCTACCTGCTGTACCTTCCAAAGGCTGCTTTGCTCTTTGCTAAGCTCAAAATATCTTCAAAACACTGTACAGAATTTTTTTAGTAAACCCAGAATTATTTGTTGCCATTATTTGTTGTTTGGGGGTTTAAGTAACTTTTAACCCAGGCAACATTTGCTTTGCAGCTCCCACTTCAGTTGTGTTTGACTAAATGAGGTGTTTGAAGGGATAAGCTGGAAAACCCATGGGGTAGAAAGGGTTTTAAAAAACCTTAAAAAGGTTTGAAAGGTTTGAGCCATCCTTCATTGTGTCAGAGGTGAAATTATATGGAATTAAATCTTTATAAACACATGTACACCGTGCTGGTGTTCACGTGCAGCCTTACAGGGCCTTTTGGGTGCTCATGAGGAAAGATGAATTCCTCCTTCTCCTTGAATGAATGAAGTGAAAACAACCCTTAACCACTGGCACTGTAAATCACAGAGCCATGGAGGTTGGGAAAGAGCTCTGAGATGATCAGGTCCAACCCCTGACCTGCTGTGCTCACAGTAACTTCAGCCTGAGAGCACATCTGGAGGTGCCTTTGCAAGTTCTTGGTTGTTACTGCAAGATAGTTGTTTTGCTCTTCAGATTGTCTCAATTTTATTTTAAAATGCACAAATGGTTTCTTTTTAAAAACAGAGGCCGTGGGAGCATCTGGTCAACGTCCTGTTTTCTGTCCTGTCCACAAACAAGAGCAGTTAAAACTTTTCTGTGAAACCTGTGACAGGCTGACATGCAGGGACTGTCAGCTGCTGGAGCACAAAGAACACAGGTACAAATACACAAATATTCCCAAATATGTCTTAACTCCTGTGCTGTCTCAGAGGATGAAGTGGCATTGATGGGAGCTGCTTCTGTTGGAAATTGTGCTGCATTTACTCCTGGTTGGACTGAACCCATCCTTTGCAGAGAACTGTGGTATTTTTGGGTCCAAAGAAAGGAATGATGAATCTGACTCCATGTTCTCAGAAGGCTAATTTACTATTTTATAATCTATAATATATTAAAGAATGCTACACTAAACTGTACTAAAGAATACAGAAAGGATACAGACAGAAGGCTAAAAAGATAATAATGAAAAACTTGTGACTCCTTCCAGAGTCCTGACACAGCCTGACAGTGATTGGCCAATAAGTCAAAACAATTCACATGAAATCAATGAAACAATCACCTGCTGGTAAACAATGTCCAAACACATTCCAAAACAGCAAAACACAGGAGAAGCAAATCAGATCATTATTGTTTTCATTTTTCTCTGAGGCTTTTCAGCTTCCCAGGAGAGAAATCCTGGGCAAAGGGATTTTTCAAAAAATATGACAGTGACAGAGAACCTGAGTGGGGTGATGGAAACTTGGTCAGTTGGCTGAGCTTTGTCAAGTCCCCAAAGATGAGATTCAGACCAAGATGGACTGAGGAGGTTTGGTGAGATTCAGGTGTTGATTTGCCTGGCAGTTCCCAGTGCTATCACTGTGGTCAGGACTTGAATGGAAATTCCTGCAGCACCTTTTACCTGCTGTAAAAGAAGCAAAAGTGATAGAGTGAGTCATGGGTGAGGTAATTTTCTGAAAGGGCATATTTGATTGTGCAACAGTCTTTAGGGGAATTTTGTAAAGGAAACTCTAAATTTTGCCTCTTACATTAGTATATTCTTCTGGTGCAGAGGGGAAGAATGGTTTGGGTTTAGTTGGTTAAAAGTTGCCTCATTCCAGGTAAAAAGAAATGCTGGGTTTGCCTCTGCTGGAAAAGGAGTTGGAACCCCTTTAGGACACATTCCAGCAGCTCTGCCATGTAGTTGTTTGAATGTCTGAACAAATATTTTGCACTGTTATAACAGAGAATCTGGGGATAATACATATTTATCAACCACTGCTTTTCCTTAGCTCTTCTCTCTAAAGGTGTAATACTGATACTGTTCTGTTTTTCTTTTTTTTTATTATGTTTTCTTTTTTTTTTAGAAAAACTATTCTGTTTTTCTCAGAATAGTGATTATTCTCAGACTGCTACAGCAGCCTATGGAAAACTTTTACGTTTGAAATTATTATTATTAAAATATTAACACCCTCAAATATTCCTGCTCTGTTCTTTCATAGGCTTGATCATAAATATCCTGGAAACTCCCTTGTCACAAAGGGTGCTCTCCTGGGATATATTCACTAACTTGGTCCAGTTGAATTCTTTGCATCTGTTCTGTGCATGTTGCTGATGGATTAACAGATGGATCTTGTCCTGCTTACCTGTGCTCTTCCAGAAGGAGAATTTGTTGTTATTAATGTGCTTTTTTTTTGCAGAATATTCTTTCCATATGGTTCTGTGTGCAGGTGTGAATTACAGATGATTAAGGCACTGCTTTGTCTGCCTGAAGTACAGCTGAGGTTTTGTGAAGAATCATGCCAAGTGGAAAAATAATTGATTTTAATCCCCTGTTTTCTTCTTCCTGAAATTCTAATATTTTACCCCAAAGGAGGGTGAATCACCTTTTCAGTACCTCCATGGTGCCAGGTTCAGAGTCTCAGTTTTAGAATTCCAGAATGTTTTGGGGTTGGAAGGGACCCTAAAGATGATCCAGTTCCACTCCTGTCAGGGCAGGGATTGCTGGGGATCCTGTAGAAAGCTGACAGTTCTTTGGGCAGCCTGATGCTGTGAGATTCCTCTAATTTGGGTCGTTTCCAGTCCACACACTTGGGAAGCTGGAAGTGCAATACTGAAAAAAGAAAAGGATTTTGGCTATAGCAGGAGCTACAGCAAAATTTCAGCAGCACAAGCTGAATGTAGGTTTTTCATTTCTTCTTCAAGTGGAAATATAATTTTGAACTTTATGAAAATAATTTCAGAAAATCATCAGCTCCCAAACATTTCAAGTTTTGCTGTCTTTGGGCTTTATGAATGCTAAATTTTTTTTTAGTATTGTAGTATCTAAAATTTTGTGCTGCTGCCTGTCTGCAAAAACTTAGGACTGTTCTTTTGGAAAAAGCAAAATTCCAACACTGAGGATGAAGAATCTCAACTCTTGGAATTCAGATTTGTCTGTTGCTGGTACAAACTGAATTAACAGCAGTAGAGTTGTTTTTGTTGTGAATGGTGTTCTTTGTCTGAGTCCCTATTACCATGCTTGTGAGTCATTTAAATAAAAAAACTGTGAGTTTGATGACAATCCAGGCAGTCTTTTCCTTTGGATTGTAATGTTCTAGATTGTGACAGAAGACAACACTAATTTCTTCTTCATTTTATTTGGAAGATGGTGGAAGTTGTTTGTAATGCACCTCATAGAATGCTTCATTAATTGCAGCAATTTTCTGCCAATTTGAATATTGGGAAAACATTGCCACGGTGTTCTGGGACATTAAGTTTTCCTTGTTGTTAACAAATTACATTTCAGAAGCATGAGGTTTATTTATTGCCAAGACAAGACTTAGCCAAGTGACTGTCAGGGATTCTGGATTTTGAGCAGTTCATCAGAAATTCATGGAGCTGCTTTAATTCCCCTTGGACATTTTCAGCAGAGGCATTTTGCTTCTGTGGCATTCTTAATTCCAGTATTTTAGGAAAGGGCACCTAATGCTGTTATTTTCCCTCAGTGTTGGTACTTACCCTTCTTTTCAGATGAAGTAATGGAAAGTACCTTTGATAGCAGATGTTCACTTGAAGAGCTTGGAAGGGAATATTCTTCACTTGGAAGAGCAGAGGTGGAAAAAAACTTAAACTTATTTACTAGGGAAATTTTCTTCAGATTAAACTAAGGCAGTCAAACATGAGCAGTATCAGCTGAAAAACAGGGGAATTTGGGATAGTTTAGTCGTTTCCAGTATCCTTTAATGTGTGTTTAAGCTTTTGGTGCATTTTCCTCACCAAACTCTGAGGATCCTGGGAAACGAGGCACTGCCTCCCTGTGTGGTTGGAATTGAATAATTGCCACAGAATTTCAGTCTCCTGGCCAGTAGCAATGGACTTTATCAGCACTTCAGCATTTTTGCACACTGGTCAGAGTATTCAGAGTCTGATTTTTCTCAGTGTTTTCTTTTTCTCAGTGTTTTTTTTTTTTTTTCTCATTCATATTTTTTCAACATTTCCTGGCTTTGCACCTGAGCTGGGAGCCCTGAGTTGCAGCCCACTGCCCCTTTTTAATCAGTGTCTTCTCTTGCCTGTTGAAAAGGTACCAGTTCCTGGAAGAAGCTTTTCAGAACCAAAAGGGTGCAATTGAGAACCTCTTGGCCAAACTTCTTGAGAAGAAGAATTATGTAAATTTTGCAGCTGCCCAAGTTCAAAATAGGTGAGTTCCCCAAAATGATCAGCTATTACATTGCCTTTTTAATGAGTCACAGCAAGATGAATGGTGGGACTAGAATGACACACTGGAGTTAATTCTACATCTTAATTACTTTCCATAATGTTTATTTGCCCCTACAAGACTTTGTATCTCTTGGAAGTTCTTACAAGAAATAAATGTTAAAGGTTATGTTTTTTGTGACAGCTTTCAATAGAACCAAAGGTGTGACACATTCATTACACTTTGGGGGTGGGGGAGAAAAAAAGGAATAAAAATGGCAAGAAAACTCATCCTATAATTTCTTTTCGGTTAGCTCTAGGTGACAGAACAGTTGAAATATTAAAATATTTTTATGTTTCATATTAAGACCTCTGATAACTGTGTAACAAAAGCTTAGTGTGAATTTGAATAGGAAATTGTGGTTGGTTGTGGGGTTCTGATTGGGTTTTTTTTTAGGTGGATTCACTTAAGATTTCCAGGGTTGTCTGAAATTGAGCATCACGTCAAATACCAAATCAGAGGCAGAGGGAGCACGTGGTCTCTGCTGGCTCTGCTCCCCTGGGCTTGTGCTGCAGCTCAGGGAATTCCACCCTGGTTCTCTGTGGTTTGGTGAGCCTTCTGCAGCTTTCAGGTCATTTGCAAAATGACACATCAGCTGGGGGTGGAAAGTACGAGGGCAGGAGGAGGATGTGCACCAAGATAGAAAGAGAAGTTCTGATGTAAGTTTTTAACTCCTTGTGGTGCCATCTATATTTAAAAAAAAAAAAGGCAGTGTAAGGGAGGAACATACAGCATGAGAGAGGGAAATGTGTGAAGAGGGAAGCAATAAAAATTGGTATTTTTCTGTGCTGATTTTCCTTGGAAGTCTTTGAAAGGTCCCAAAACACAACAGCATTGTGAAGCATGGAAATGTTACACACTTGAAGAGACAGTCACATAGGCAGTAATTAAACTGGGAGCTCAAGAATGTCACAAAACATTCTCTGATAAGAATTCCAGGCCAGGAATGGGTGATGGAATTAACACATTGTAATGGTGGGGATTTTTTTCCCAAGAGTTTCTGGCTTCAGTGAATTCAGTGAATTTCTGCAGCTGGGATTGAGTTGTGTCAAAACCTCAATTTTCTGCTGAGCCAAGTGGCTGGTGCAGGTGAGACAATTCATTCCACTGCTTTGCTGGTGTGTAGGATACAAAATCCATCAACCTAAAAACTTCAGGGAATGGGAAAAATAAAGGTGTTACAATTTTGTTGTCAGTGTTGGCAGATGGCACAAAATCACCATCATCTGTGGTGGTGGAGCATGAAAGTGTTGAAGGAGCAGCTCTGCTGGAATAATTGTTGGGTGCCAAAGCCAAGGGTGGATGCCATGGACTTAATGAAGGGTTGGTTGGGTGTTTTTTGGAGCAGGAGACCAGGTTGTGCTGCCATGAAAACCTCGTGTGTCCCAGGTGCCTTAAAGGGCTTTGACTCCAGCAGGGTTCATCCACAGGGAGTGTTGGTCCTGTGGCTGAGTGACATCAGATCCTTCATGTGGCAGCAAAAAAACACTTCAAAAAAGGACAATTTAAGCCTTCACATTGGCTCATGGCAAAGAATTCTGCTGCAGTGTGATCTTGTTAGATTAAGGCAGTGTAGGATCAAATAAATCCAGAATTTCCTGAGTTTAAGAAGTGCTGTATTTGAAATTCTGTGGCCAGAGCTCAAGGTGATTTGCTTGAATCTGAAGAAGCTGAAAATGCACTAAAACTGAGGAAAAATGGCAGTGATAAAGAGGTTATAAAAATCTGGCAGCCAGTGCTATTAAAGCACAAGAGAATAATCTAAACTAATATCAGGCACCTCATTAGTGAAATGTTTATCTCTTTATTGTGTATTAGTTACAGGTCTGTAATAATTTTTTTGTTACAAGGGAGGAATTAATTTGAAATTCAGGATTGACTTCTGGTTAATATAAATTATCTTAAAAGTTTAAAGCATCAGATATAAATTTTTCATAGTGAGTGACACAATATGGATATAAATTTATAAGTGTACATATAGACTCTTGTGGTTGTGACTGGTTATTTCTCTAAATTTCTCTCTATAAAGTGTGTAAACTACAAGGATTTCCATATTATTTGAAGTAAAACAAGTTCTGAATTTGTATTTGGCAGTGAAATGTAATGTGACTGACAATCCATTGCTCTTTTTTATGTTGTTTTTTTAGGATAAAAGAAGTAAATGAAACCAACAAACGAGTAGAACAGGAAATCAAAGTGGCTATATTCACCCTCATCAATGAAATCAATAAAAAGGGAAAATCTCTCCTACAGCACCTTGAGGTACACTTGAAATAAAAAGCAGTGGTGGTGTTGAGTTTCCAGTCCCCTGTTGAGGGGAAACATTTGAAAATGGTTTGTTTGGTGTGGCTGCAGCTGTTGCAGCACTGAAACTGCCTCTGAGGGATGTGCTGGAGTTAAATCTCTTGTTTTCCTCTCATCAGAGCCCGTGGCTCCTTCAGTTTTGTGTCTGTGCCTCGTATTCAGAATGGGGCTCATTGTACAGGAGTGGCTGAAAATCCCCTTTTCATGTTTTGTTTGCCATATTTCTGTTTTATAACATAATGCTAAGATGTGTATAATTTAATAATTCCCTCAAATAGCTTGTTAATGTTCATGTAAGGACAGTCAGAGCAGTCTCTTGTATTTGTACATGAAGGTGTAATGCTGGTATTTAAAGTTGTATTATACAACTTTAGAGACCATGAGTTCAAGCATCCTTTCCAGATGGCATGTTCTGAATAATTGCATTGTGACTTCCATTAAAATGAAAATTTTACCTGAATAGAGGAAATCTGTTTTATCTGAATAGAGGAAATCCCTTGTAAGAAGTTGGTTCAGTGCATATGGCCAGCCTGCCATGAAAAATTTAAGATCAGATGAATCACAATAGATTTTTCCTGGTTAAGGAGCAATAACTTGGCAGGGAAATCGAATGTTCCTGGAAGAATAGAGTAACGTTATCATTTGTAAAAGAAATAATGCAAAATTACATTAACTTTGACTTTTCTTATTTACCTAGCATTTATTAAAATTTCCTTGTGACTTTTTCCTTTTGATCCAAGCCAGTGTTTTACATTTTCCTCCTCCGTCCGAAAGCCCCGTTGTGATAAATCACTTCACAATGTACAATTACTTTGTTGTGACAAAATCTCTGTTTCTTTGCAGAACGTAACAAAGGAGAGGCAGATGAAGTTGATCCAGCAGCAGAACGACATCACTGGTCTGTCACGACAAGTGAAGCACGTGATGAACTTCACTAATTGGGCCATTGCCAGCGGCAGCAGCACTGCCCTGCTCTACAGCAAGCGCCTGGTGAGGCCACCTGGGGCTGGGCAGGGCAGGGCCCGAGCTGCAGGGGACTTGTGGTAGCAGCAACCCCTGATCAGCTGTGGGGTGCCAGTTTTGGTTTCTCTGGGTCTGGATTGAAGGCACTGGAGATGATAGTTCGTGTTTGGACTCAGTGTTTATTATTTCTCATCAGTAAAACAGTCTCACTGCTGTGAGTTCTGAAGCTTTTCATTAGAAGGCACAAAATGGCTAAAAATCTCTATTTACAAGGTATTTTAAGACTAAACCATCCAATTAAGAACTGACACCTAGGTTATTTTCCCTTTTAACCCAATAACTGATCCCACAGAGCCTGCAATGCAGACTTTTCTGCCCAGTTACAAAATGCCACCCAAACCCAAGAAGAAGAAGGAAGAAGCAGCATGAAGAAGAAACCCAGGACAACACACTGTGCCCTTCATCTTGCTTCCATCACAACATACTAAAAATCCCAAAACCTCAATTTCTCACCAAGTCACACACCTACACCACTCTCTGTAATCAATTTCACACTTTTGTGGATTCTAGTTTATCTGAAGTCTAGGAAACTTTCTCCATGAATGAGGGTCAAAGTCAGTGCTGCTCTGGGGGTCAGGGCACCCCAGAGCAGACAGAGAAATATTCCCTGTGCCCTGGGTTTCCACACTCAGGGAATAATTAGCACTGACTCCATGATTGCAGAAGACTGATCAATCACTTTATTGTACTATATTATACTGTGCTATACTATACTTCTTAAGAAGCTCATGCCCTGCCAGACAGTCCAGTACAGCTTTGACTTAATTGGTCAATCAATCCAAACACCATCCAGTGTCCAATTAAGAAATTTATGGTAAACAAATCTCCATAACATATTCCACATGTGCACAACAACAGGTGCAGCAAGTGGAGATAAGAATTGTTTCTCTTTCTTTTCTCTGAGCTTTCTCACAGCTTCCCAGGAAAACCCTGGGAGGGAGTTGTCTCTCTCTGTTCAGAGGCTCTGTGATTGACTCACCCACAGGGATCATCCAGTGCAGCCCCTACCCTGCACAGACACCCCAAAATCCCACCCTGGGCATCCCTGGAATGTTGTCCAAACACTCCTGGAGCTTTGGCAGCCTTAGGGCAGTGCCCAGCACTCTCTAGGGGAGGAACCTTTCCTGATATCCAACCTAAACTCCCCTGGCACAGCTCCAGCCCTTCCCTCAGGTCTTGACCCTGCTCACAGAATCAGAGCTGTCCCTCTGCTGCTCCTGAAGAAGAAGCTGCAGCTCCTAGTGAGGCTCCCAAAACACAACACCATTGTGAAGTACAGAAGTGTTACACACCTGAAGAGCCAGTCACATAGGCAATAATTAAACTGAGAGCTCAAGAAATGTCACAAAACATTCTCTGATAGGAATTCCAAGCCAGGAATTCCTCAGGCTCCTCTTCTCCAGCAGAACAAAATGCCCTCAGCCAGTCCTTGTGTGACTGACAGACCTGGCTGGGCAATTCTGTCCCAATCCCTGTGTCCAGAGAGGGAAAAAGTTCCAATATTCCTGGAGTGAGATAAGACACAAATTCAAGTGTTGGTAACCAAAAGGATAATTCACTTTTATTGACATGAATTCACCCAGTTGTGCACATGCAAGCCCAGGGGTGTGCTCACCACTGCTGCTGCTGTAGACCATCACTCTGCCACCAGCTTTCCCAGTCTGGGAACATGTCCTGAGCCACAAACACAGAGGGGCAGGAGAATCAAATGTATCCAGAGTGAGATTAAGACACAAATGAGGTCAAATGTTGGTAGTCCAAAGGATACACCCAGTTGTGCCATGTGGGTCCATCATGGCACCCTATCTTCAGCTTCAGATCTTACAGCAGAGCCAAGCAATTGTGCAACAGTTCACTCTTTACTGTAAGGGTTTGGGGAGTGTTAGTGTACAAGGAATGGGGTCAGCTCTGTGAAGGCACCTCAGTGTTTCACTGGAGTAATTTCAGTAATGTTGTGGTGTTAGAGTGCTGCTCTGCAATCCTCAGAGTAAATCCAGTGTGGGATTTTCCTGACAAATTGAGAATTTCCCAAGCTTTGCTCAGCTCTGTGAAGGCACTTCAGTGTTTCACTGGAGTAATTTCAATAATGTTGTGGTGTAAGAGTGCTGCTCTGCAATCCTCAGAGTAAAGAAGTTGTACAGTGTGGGATTTTCCTGACAAATTGAGAATTTCCCAAGCTTTGAACCAAACTTGCTGCTGCCAGTCCTTGTTGGTGTTCCATGGTCTAAACTCTCTGGGTAAACACACACTTGTTTCTCATTCTTTCTTTCTGTCAGCAGCAGAGTGTTTTTGTTTTCTCTAGATAACCTTCCAGCTGAGGCACATCCTGAAGGCACGCTGTGATCCCGTCCCTGCTGCCAACGGCGCCATCCGCTTCCACTGTGACCCCACCTTCTGGGCTAAGAATGTTGTCAATTTGGGTGAGAAAAGCCTGTTTGTTCAATCTGTCATACTGGGAAAACTGTTGAATTGGGGGTGTTCCTCCAACAGGAGTGAGTGCAGTGCAATACATCTCTCAGTGTAGGAGACAAAAACCCTCTTGACCATAAACTCTCATAATCCATCCAGCCCTGATTATTCTCCTTATCTGCTCTGTTCTTTCTATTAGCAAAGCTTTCTCTAAATAGATATTAAAAATATTATACATAATAATCTATAGTAATAAATAATAATCTATTTATCTGTTATAAATAGATATTTTTTTCCAGTGGGAATGGTTCTAGGAATGGCCCTAATCACAGAATCACCAAGTGGTTTGGGTTGAAAAGGACCTTAAAAGTCATCTCATTGCACTCCCTTCCATGGGCAGGGACACCTTCCACTGTCCAGGCTGCTTCAAGCCCTGTCCAGCCTGGCCTTGGACACTTCCAGGGATCCAGGGGCAGCCACAGCTGCTCTGGATTGGACACTGGACCTGTGTCACAATTTCCACTTAGAGTTTGCAAAGTACAGGTTTGGAATGAGAGAAGAGGGCAGAGCACAGTGAGATAGAGATACCTGTTTGTTCCTGTGTGTGAACTTCTCTGTTGGATAAAAATCTCATAGAAAATCTGATAAAAATACCTGTTTCTGTGTACGTTCACTTCTTGCTCTGAGTCTGCTATGCAGGTTGGGGTGTTCCTGTCTTCGGTCAAGAGATTTATTCTTTGGGGCAGACAGGAAGCAGAAAGGAAACTTCCAACCTTAATAAAAAGGGGTGTGCAGATTCTACTGAGTACACATTCACGAATTTACAAATTGATTAAAAAATCAGCATTTTGCCTTTCCATATAAAAATAGGACAGGAGTTACCTGGAGAGGCAGCATGGTCCCTGACATTGGAGCCAGACAGGACTTGCTTGTAGCAGTGTTTGGTCTTGTGTTTGTAGGACCTGTTTGAAGTCACTGGGTGGTGGGACACTCAAATATCTCTTTCCAGGCTTTGCTTCTTTAGGCATAGAAACCTTATGCTCAACATGTTTGTTTTCTGTTTTATTTCTCATCTTGTCCTTTTCTTGTGAACACAGAGAAGTAATTTCTGTCTGTTGTGGCTTTTAGGCTGTGCAGTTCCAGTTCTTTCACTCTTCCCTCACAGATCATGTTTTAATTTTGCAGTTATTTCTTGTAGTCTGAGTTCTCTTCGCTTTTATAGTGTATGGTTATTGAAGACACAAAGAAAGCTTAAATTTTAAGCTTTCAAGCTTAAATTGCTCTGAGAAAACTGCATTAGAAACATCTGAATATTCCACATATGTGTGACTGCATAGGATGGAGGATGATGAGATCTAACTGTTGATTCCCTCTTTGGGTTTTTACAGGTAACCTGGTGATTGAAAATAAACCAACCCCTAGTTACACTCCCAATGTAGTGGTTGGGCAAACTCCTCCAGGAACAAACCACGTCAACAAAGCTCCAGGACAAATCAATCTGGCCCAGCTTCGACTGCAGCACATGCAGCAGCAGGTGTATGCCCAAAAACACCAGCAGCTGCAGCAGATGAGGATGGCCCAGCCATCCTCTACATCCGTGCCCAGGCAGAGCAGCCCCCAAGTCCTGCAGCAGCAGGTGAGCCCTTTATGTGTTCTTATTTCACCTTCTTTCCCTTTATTTCACCATAACAGTGAGATTTAAAATTGCCCTGTCAGATCTAAACTTGCAAAGCAATTTATTAACTAAAATCTTTTGAGATTTGAGATACTTTAATGTGACAGCTCTTGGCTTTGCTTGATGTTATGTTACTACTACTGTGGAAAGAGATGGGCTTCTTTTCTCCATGTTAAAAGCACAAATTTTAAAAAACCCAAACCCTTGCAGCCTCCCAGGTTGATCAGCATGCAGACCATGCAGAGGGGTAACATGAACTGTGGGGCTTTCCAAGCACATCAGATGAGAATGGCCCAGAATGCTGCTCGTATCCCAGGAATCCCACGCCACAATGGACCTCAATACTCCATGATGCAACCTCACCTTCAAAGACAAGTATATCCTGTGTACACGCTTCATTGTGCCATTGTGCCAGCCTTTCATGCCAGTAGATGGTACCTCCAGCTGTAGACGTGTTTATCTGTCCCCCTGTAGCTCACAGCTACACACATTTATATGCTTCTTTTCCATGTTGCATTACTGTGCTGTGACAGTTTTGCTGAACGTAAGGAAATTCAAACATCAGGGGTGGAAATGGAATGAAATGAAACGTTTGTGTTGCAGTTTAGTTCTGGGAAGTAAAACGTTTCTTTTTGCAATTTTGAGTGGCATTCAGCTGAAAAGAACACTCAGAGGTTTATTAGAGAATAGTGAGGAGTGGTGAAGTTCAAAGTGATGTAGTTGAGGGGTTTTGATTAAATCAGCTGCTGAAGTGTTTTTAAATTCACACCTGAAGCATTGATGCAGAGCTCTGCATGCCATTAAGAATAAAAATCCTTGACAATGCATGTTAACGTGACTGAAATACCAAAAGTGACTTTATATTACTTGAGACAGTTAAAAATTAGACATGTAAATACTAAAGCTATCTTCGAAGGAAGTAATTGCTTTAAGAAAACACCTCTATATACAAAATAACTTGGTGGAAGAAGTGCTGTCTGTTTAAAATCGAGCCACATCAAGTATTTTTTCCTTTCCAAGTGGAGAAGAGGAGCAGTTGCTCTGCCCTCAGTGCTGGCAGGTGCTGTGCTGGCTGTGATGTGAGTTTGGCCCCGTTGGGTTGCGGTCTGTCCCGGGGCAGCGCTGCGGCGGGAGCCGCGGCGGCCCCGTGCCCCAGCGCGCTCTCTGTGTCTCCCCAGCACTCCAACCCCGGCCACGCCGGGCCCTTCCCGGTGGTCTCCGTGCACAACACCACCATCAACCCCACCAGCCCCACCACGGCCACCATGGCCAGCGCCAACCGTGGCCCCACCAGCCCCTCCGTGTCGGCCATCGAGCTCATCCCGTCCGTCACCAACCCGGAGAACCTGCCCTCGCTGCCAGACATCCCCCCCATCCAGGTCAGTGCTGCTCCTCCTCCTCTGCTTTTATACTTGGGTACAGGATTTGGTCGTGGAAAGGTGTAATTAGCATGTACATTGTAGAATTCAAACTCATTTCACCTCTAAAATACTGCAAAAAGTTGTTCTCCGTCACCAGCCTGGAGAACCTGCCCTCCCTGCTGCACATCCTGCCCTTCCAGGTCAGTGCTGCTCCTCCTCTGTTTTACAGTAGGGTACAGGATTTGGTCGTGGAATGGTGTAATTAGCATTTAAATTGCAGATTTCAAACTCATTTCACCTCTGAAATATTGCAAAAAGTTGTTCTCTGTCACCAACCCAGAGAACCTGCCCGCGCTGCCAGACATCCCCCCCATCCAGGTCACTGCTGCTCTTCCTTCTCTGCTTTTGTGGTTAGGTGCCAGGATTTGGTCATGGTATGGTGTAATTAGCATTTAAAGTTGTAGAATTAAAATCTTCAGCCCTTCTCTTAGGCATGCATGTAGGGCTGACCTGGTAAGCTTTAGATTGATAAATATTTATTGTGTCCTGTAGTCCTGCCCCCCTCAGCTGCTTTGCTTTTGTAGTTAGGTACCAGGACTTGGCCGTGGAATGGTGTAATTAGCATTTAAAATTGTAGAATTCAAACTCATTTCACCTTTAAAGTATTGCAGAAAGTTGTCCAAGCCCTGGGAGCAAAATGGGAATTACACACTCCATGGCACCCAGAGAGTTCTGGTCGTGTGGAGAGGATGAATCAAGCTCTTCAAAGAGCTCTAGTTAAGCTGATGGTTGAAACCCAGTTGTCATGGATCAAATGTCTCCCTTCAGGCTTGTTAAGAATTAGAACCCAGCCCTGGTCAGACCTGGGGTCTCACCCTGTGGGGTGTTTGGGTTTCCCTTCCTGACCTTGCCCCACAAGGTTGCCACCTGTGAGGAAGGGGAAGCCAATGCCAAGAAATATATTATGTCTATAGCACAAACCTTAGAAGGACCTGCTCCACCTGGTAACCTTTAGATTAATCAATATTTAATGTGTTCTGTAGTAAAATTAAGACTTTAATTAGTGCCAAATTCTGTGTTCACTTCCTTTCTTCCACAAGACCATCTTGTGGGAAGATAGCATAATTAATGGTGATGTATTTTGAGTGCTCTGAATGGTGATTTATTCAGGGTTAAAGCTGCCTGGAGTTTCTCTTGGATGCTCCTGGAAGGAAGCACAGAGGGGACATGTCCCATTGTCCCACAGAGAGGGGACACAAGCTGAGATAAATTTTGAAGCTGATTTGGAGAGGTGAAAAGCACAATGTAATGTACACGTGGAGGCAAAGAAAATAAAAGTCATGTGTTTTCTGCAGGAGTGTTTGGCAGGGGAGGAGGATGATAGCTTCATCCTGAGAACAGGACCTTTGCATTGAAAACTGTAAAACTCAGGAGATTTGGTCACCATACAGGAAAAAAAATAAATTTAATCCAAGACGGACTGCTGGAATGCCAGCTGCAACTTTGCAGCTCTTAAATGCTCAGGGCTGGTGTGTTCAGTGTTCTCAGGAGGCTGCAGGTCATTTTTAGTGTGAGAGTGGTGGGGAAGGAGGAATCCCATCTCAGTGTGAGCAGTCTGCAGTGCTGAGGCTTCAGAACAAAGCATTACCATGCAACTTCCAGGTGCACTGAAAATGCAGAATTCTGAGATACTCTACTCTTCTTTTGATACCTGTCCATGTAATAGCTGTTATGGATTTTAGTTGGGTTTGGTGCTGGGAATGTTAGTCCTTCAAGCTGCTGGCACAGTCATTAAAACCCACTTGGAATGCAGTGTGTTTCAAACACATTATTGCATTTAACACATTTAACACATTTAAGCAGTTACAGCAACAGGGTCCCCGTTTCCTTGGGTTTAACACGTACTAAAATCTGTTTGAAAAGTGAGTGGGAGATATTCCATCATGTTAAGGAAAGACAAGATTGTGGCCTCCCTTAATATCTCAATTATGGAATAACTTCTGCAGCCTCAGAAATCTGGTATTTCATGACTAACACAGCACCATGTGTGTGACTGACACACTGAGCAGCTGGGAGTCAGAAAGTTTGCAGTGACCCTGTGTGAGTGCAGCCCAGGATCATACTGGAAAAAACCCTCAGATTTAGGAGCTAGTGAAAAACATTACTTGTTTGAAAGCCTGATTTCTGCATGAAACTGATAAAAATATTTGCTGATGTCCTGAATCCTTGAAGGGAGAGGGAGCGATTCCAGTAAAGATAGTGATGACAATTTACATGTGTGAATGAGACCTCTCTGATTCAGGTTTTTGTTTTTCCTCCTCAGCTGGAAGATGCTGGTTCCAGTAGTTTAGATAATCTGCTAAGCAGATACATCACAGGCAGCCACCTCCCCCCACAGCCTACCAGCACCATGAATCCCTCCCCAGGACCTTCAGCTCTGTCTCCAGGGTCATCAGGTAAATCTGATGGGTTTTTCTAGTTATTCCAGAAAGTGATGGGTATTTCTGGTATTTAAGTTGGAAATAATTGCCTAGCATTTCCTGCCAGAAGGGAAGCAGTGTTTTATTTAAAATTTGTTTTGCTCAGAAATAGATTCTTCCGGAAATTTAAATTTTACCCTCCTTTAGAAATGTCTTTATAGTAACAAACTGCCAGCACATGGATGCAGTATTCCAGATATATATGTATATATATGTGTGTGTGTATTTATATATACCCATATAGAGACACTGTCAGGGTCATTCTGAGTATAACTAGTTAATGGTAGAGCTTTTCTTACGCACATGAACAAATTAAGTCACCAGTACCTAACACTGAGGTAGTTAAACACTGAAAATGTCTATTTTTATAAGTAAGAAGATTATTTCAGAGAATAGGAAAAAATCCTTCCTTGTGAGGGTGGGCAGGCCCTGGCACAGGGAGCCCAGAGCAGCTGGGGCTGCCCCTGGATCCCTGGAAGAGCCCAAGGCCAGGCTGGACGGGGCTTGGAGCAGCCTGGGACAGTGGAAGTGTCCCTGCCCATGGCAGGGGTGGCCCTGGATGGGCTTTGAGGTCTCTTCTAACCCAAACCATTCTGGGACTTGATGTTTCTCTTGGTTGTCTCTACAGGACTTGTAAGGTCCTGTCAATGAAGGGGTGCAGCAGTGGGGCTTCCTGTGTTTCTCCAAACCTGCACATAAACCATGCAGAGGCTGCTTTTTTGACTTTATTGGTGGCTCTCAGTGGATAAAATTTAGGATGTAATGGTCTGAAGGCTTTAGCACTGTTTGGATTAGGTGAAATAATACTGGGACCCTAAGAACCTTGTGTTGTCACTTTTTAATTTCATGTGATGTGCTGGATTTGTTGTGATCACAAGACTGAGAGAACAGCTGGCTTAGGTGACTTGGTAAATTGGGATATTGCTGCAGCATTTCTGGGGTTACTCAGCACTAGTCAGTGAATGTAAACCTGTACCACATCAGCTTCTGTGCTGCTTCTCTGCAGGTTTATCCAACTCCCACACTCCTGTGAGGCCCCCCAGCACCTCCAGCACAGGCAGCAGAGGAAGGTGAGTGTCACATTAACAATGTCAGGCTAAAAAAAGGAGACATGAATAATTCCAAAAAGGAATTGGCAGTTGGCAAATTGTGCTTTGTCATAACTGTGACCAAGGAATGGAAGAATGCTTATATGAAGATTTATATTTTAAATTTTTTTTTTCCTGCACTATGATTCTCCTATGTCTTGTAAACTGGACTGTTGTAAATGTGCTGACACCCTTTGCCTTTCTTTTGGGAAACATTTACCTGAATTTCTTTGCCCTGTTGATTTATCCTCTTATTTATCTCGTGATGTGCTGATGTCTCTGCAGCTGTGGCTCCTCGGGCAGGACTGCTGACAAAACTGGCATTGGCTTCAAGGCTGACCAAGTGAAAGTAAAGCAAGAGCCAGGCACAGAGGAGGAGATCTGCAGCTTCTCAGGAACAGTAAAGCAGGAAAAAACAGAGGATGGCAGAAGGAGTGCTTGCATGGTAAAGTTAGTTTATGCTCAGTGTTTTCCTGGCAGCATGTTTAAGAATTTAGAAAGGAAAAAAAAAAGCATTTTTACTCTGAAGTAAAAATACCTTCTAAGAGGTGTTTTCTCCCTGATAATGCTCTGCCAGGCACAGATTGGCCTGTAATGTAAATTTTATCTTAAATGATTGAAATGAAGTGTAATAGAGTGTATTTGCTGCTTTTAATCACTAATTAATAAAAGCTGTGAGTCACCTATTGATAGTAGACATTCCCGCATAGGTAATTGCATTCAGAAAACCTCCAGTCAGTCAGAAGTTCTTAAACCAAAGTATAAATCAAATAATTAGCAAATGAATATTTTTCAGTGTTTCCCAGCTATGCTTGATTAAACGGGATTGTGTACAGGGAGCAGGGTGGTGGAGTTGAGGATTTTTCCTAGTAACAATCAAGTTGTCATTAACAGCTTTTAATGACTTAGTGTGTTTGGCTTGTTATATCATTTCTCTTGTTATATATAGAAGAAATGAGAGTGTTGTACAAAGAAGGGACATGTGAAAAAGCAGTTTTCAATACTGTGTGCAACTCAGATCTTCTTCATGATTTCCCATGGTTTTTGGGATGTGAGCATGGTACCTTTGAATGGTGGGAGGATTTTGAAGAAAGATCCTGCTGCAAAATCAACTCTGATTTTCCACGTGCCGCTTCCATTCCAGCTCAGCAGCCCCGAGAGCAGCTTGACACCACCACTATCCACTAACCTCCACCTGGAGAGTGAACTGGAAGCTTTGGGAAGCCTGGAAAACCACGTGAAGACAGAGCCAGCAGATCTGAGTGAGAGCTGCAAGCAGTCTGGGCACAGCCTGGTGAACGGGAAGTCGCCCGTGCGGAGCCTCATGCACCGCTCGGCCCGAGTGGCAGGAGAGGGCAACAACAAGGACGACGACCCCAACGAGGACTGGTGTGCTGTGTGCCAGAACGGGGGGGACCTGCTGTGCTGTGAGAAGTGCCCCAAGGTGTTCCACCTCACCTGCCACGTCCCCACGCTCCTCAGCTTCCCCAGGTACCCGCAGCGGCGTCGCGGGCTGGGCTGACGTTGTGCACGGAGCCCAAAGTGGTGTTTCCTCCAAAATCAGCTTGTTCTGGCTGGTTTCTTGTACTGCAAAAATGTCATATTCTTATACTGCAAAAATATAATATACTGCAAAAATACAATATTCTAATACTACAAAAAATACTATTATACTACAAAAATACAATATTCTAATACTACAAAAATATAATGTTCTAATACTAAATACAATATTCTAATACTACTTATACTGCAAAAGTGTCATATTCTTATACTGCAAAAATATCATATTATCATATTATACTACAAAAGTGTCATATTCTTATACTACTTAAATATAATATTCTTATACTACAAAAGTATCATATTCTTATAGTAGAAAAATGTCATCAGGCCTTGCCTGAGTTGTTGGTGTGATCAGTGTTTATCTGGTAACAGAATCCCGTTCTGTTTATCTGTTTGTGTCAAGTCTCACAATGCGATTCTGTTGTGGAAAGTTCATTGTAAGGCGAGGTGAGAAGGGTGTACTGTAAAGTTAATACTTTATGAAGTTTGAAAGCATCCTATGAGGGCAGGAAAAAGGGCCTTGACTGGCAGAATTATTGTGAGTATTAAGGATCAGTCCTTAGCTTTGGGTATCCAAGTTTTTACTGCAGTAGAATGTGAATCTTTAAGAGTGAGTAAAAACTACTTGTAGTCATCACTGATGAGAATTTATCCCTGTATGCCTGGAATAATTGTGTTTTTCTCTTTAGTGGAGAGTGGATATGTACATTCTGCAGAGACCTGAGCAAACCTGAAGTGGAATATGATTGTGACAATTCCCAGCACAGCAAGAAGGGCAAGACAGCACAAGGCCTGAGTCCTGTGGACCAAAGGGTGGGTGTCAGACCTGCAGGAATCTGCTTCCCAGGAAAATGCCTTCTCACATCAGCTCCCCCACACTGACTGGAGAGGGTTTTGCTTTGGCTGAAGCAAATTAAATGTAGTTATGGCTTTGCAAAACAGCCCAAATGAGGTTTTTCCTGCTGTGGCCACATCTCCAGGTGTTGGTGACTGTGGGAGTGCCCCAGTGCCTTGGGACTGTAATCACTGAGGAGCTAAAATTCAGCATGAACACAAATTCTGTATTTAAATGCATCATTTAACATGCACTTGATTAAAAGTCCTTTGCATTTAGCATTCATAAAATATTTCTGTGAGCTTGGTGTGTTGAAGTGCATTCTGTGAGAGGTGCTGGGAGTGTTCAGGTGCATTCTTGGGAATTTTAATGACCTTGACAGTCAGAATTATTTTTAGCTTTATCAGTCAGCCTCTGTGTGGTGTTAGGAGTATTATCAAATCAAAATCCTCTAAAGGAATTACAAGCAAGCTAGGAAAAATATTTCAACAGGAATTTTATAGAAACACTCTGGCTCTGCTTTCAGATTGTTCAATTTTGTCTTGTGGGGAAAAGTCTGCAGCTCAGTCCATTCCTGTTACATGTGGTTGTGATTGGACTGCTCCAGTAAAAGTGGTTGTAGTTGGTATTTTAGTTTTTTAGTTTGCAGTATATTAACATGTCTCTCCATGCTTGACTTCAGCCCTAGGCTTTTGGTTAGGAGGGAGAAAACAAAGAGGAAATTTGTGAACAGTAAATGGGGATCTGCCTCTCAACTCTGCCCTCCTAAGAACTTTACCTTTTTAAATTAAGTTTGGGGGGGTTGCATTTAAATTTTCTAGTACTATGCTGTTAAATTAGAAGCCTGTTTAAAGTATGGATGTATGAATTTCTGGGCTAGGGATAAATTAAGAATATTAATCTGACCCTGTTTGTTTCTTTCTAAGAAATGTGAACGCCTCCTGCTTTACCTGTACTGCCACGAGCTGAGCATTGAGTTCCAAGAGCCGGTCCCAGCCTCGGTGAGTCTCCTGAAAAAAAGAGTCTCCTGAAAAACACCTGGGGATTTCTGTCTGGTGTAACAGCCCTGGAGCTGAATTTGGGAAGGAGCTGACTGCTTTCACCAGGATCAGACTAAAACTTCTGGCAGTCATCCAGCATTTCATGGGTCTGAGAGGGAGAGCAGCTGATTCTGGAGCTGCTCCAGGCAGATGCTTCACTCCCAATCTCAAAACCAGATATTTAAAAATAATTCCAATTAGCAGTCATTGAATTGGAACTAGATGTCTCAGGCTACCCATGAAACTCAAAATGCTTTGGAGGGCTTTTTGTTGCTTTTTGGACAAACTTGTGAATGAGAGGAGGGAATAAAGTTCTTTGACTCCTGTGTTCTCAGCTGTAAAAGAAGTAACTGTAATGAAAAGCTTTGCTGTGCTGTGGGAGACACTGAAGGTTAGAAAGAATTCCAGAATCCCAGAGTGGTTTGGGTTGGAAAGGACCTTAAAGCTCACCCAGTCCCAGCCCTCCCAGGGACAGGGACACCTTCCACTGTCCCAGGCTGCTCCAAGCCCTGTCCAGCCTGGCCTTGGGCACTTCCAGGGATCCAGGGGCAGCCCCAGCTGCTCTGGGCACCCTGTGCCAGGGCCTGCCCACCCTCACAGGAAAGATTTCTCCCCAGTATCCAATCTAAATCTGCCCCCCTTCAATTTAAAACCAATCTCCCTTGTCCTGTCACTCCATACTCTTACAAAGAACTTTTTAAAGTTCAGTTTGAGGAAAGGAAATTGTTCTGCTTTGTTGAATGTGCCTGGAATGAGATAAGGGATTGATGCCTCCAGTGTGGAAATTCAGCTGTCAACTCTGTAGCCATTCAGTGCTAAATCACTGTTGGTTTTTCACAGATACCAAACTACTATAAAATCATAAAGAAACCAATGGATTTGTCCACGGTGAAGAAGAAACTGCAGAAGAAACATTCCCAACACTACCAGACCCCCGAGGACTTCGTGGCCGATGTCCGGTTGATCTTCAAGAACTGTGAAAGGTTTAATGAAGTATGTTAACTTCCAATCTGAGCTCCATTTGTCCTTTAAATGAAGATTTATTTCAACCTGGTTGTGCAGCTTCTCCCCTGAAAAGCTCTGCTTCCAGCTGTAACTTCTGCTTTTGGAGCAGATGCTGAATCAGACACTTAAAAACCAAACAAAACTCAAGGCAGTTGCAGGATAACTTCTCATTTTTAGTTAAATTAGGACATATTAAAATGCATTCAGTGGTATCTGTGACTGAGGAGAAGGGTGACCTGGTTACTGTGCATCAGATTGATTGTAGAAGTGCTTAGGAAGTGCCATAAAGACAACCAAAGAGTTCTTAAAAGTGTCCCAAGCTACCCAGGTAATTGGTTTACACTCTTGGAACATGGTAGAATCCGCTGAGAAACTTCCTCTACTGAGGAGAAATCTGCCTTTCTGAAGTTATTCTGGTTTTAGTACCTCACACAAATGAATTCAACAAAGCTTTGTGGCCATTATGGCTTTTATTAACCTTCCTGCTTGAACCCCTTGGTAGCTGGGCTCTCACAGAAATCAGTTTTCAGTGGATAACTTGGGTATGGGGTCATATTTTTTTACTAATTTTGTAATGATCCCATCTGATAATGAAATATCCCTTGTATCTGAAAAGTGACTTGGGGAGATAAATGACCTGGATGTTACTGCTGGTTGAGCAATGTAAAAAATAATCTGAATATTAAAAAAAAAAGAAAAAAAAAAGTGATATTGTGCTGAAACTGAGTGGGAGCTAAGGGGGTTCCTAATCTTTGAGATGCTTTAAAGCAAGAATAACAAAAGTCATCACAGGAAATGGCTTTCTTCTGACCTTAAAATGCAGAAAGCAGCCAATATTTCTTATTTCTCTGCAAAATGTAACCTGGATTTGCAGTGTTTGGGCTGCATTTCTGGCCCTGTGCAGAAGGAAACTGAAGGAACTGCACAAAGCTGCAATTAAAACCTCCCTAGGAAAAATCTGGGTCAATGATGTGATGCTGGAATTGCTCACAAGCATTTGGGATTTTGACAGCCCTGACTCCTTTATGTCCCTGCATTAGGGGAGGTTCATGAGGTAATTTAATCATGTGAACTTCTCAATCAGGGGAATTAATGAAGCATCCACTCTAGAGGAAAACATGCTGCAGCTCTTAGAGACCAGAGTACAACAAGGGAGGAAGGACTGAGGGATGTGGTGATTTTTTTCTTACTTTTTTTAAAAAGAAAAAAAAAAAAATGTGTTTCAGCTTGCCTGGCTCATGGCAAAAGTTGAGTCACTCTGACCTCTCACAGCAGCATCATGTCGAGTGCCTCTAAGCCAAATGCTTTTCCAAAGCAGAGATCCCAGTGGGGTAATCCCCAGGAAATCTCCTGGAGCTCCTCCCTCCAAAGGAGAATTTCCCACAATCGCGTCCAGGCAACTCCAGTTTATTGTGAGGAAAGCAGTCGTGAGTAGAAAATGGCTGGGAGCCTCTTGTGCAAAAGTTGTGTGTTCTGTTGAAGGTTTATTTACCACCTAAGACTGTTTTAAACCTGCTGCCTAAGTTTGGGAACTAAAGCTAACAAACCATAACAAACTGTGTTGTTGTTATGGCTGACTTTAGTCATCCAATCCTGTGCGATCTCGTAACTTTAGAAAGGATTATAATTTCATTTTTTTTGACTCTGGTATCCTTTTTAGATGATGAAAGTTGTTCAAGTTTATGCAGAAACACAAGAGATTAATTTGAAGGTAAGCGTTTCAGACCATGCACACTTGGTGAAGGGATGTGCATTTCCAACAGGTGAATATTCCTGTCTTCTTTCATCCACAGGCTGATTCAGAAGTAGCACAGGCAGGGAAGGCAGTTGCATTGTACTTTGAAGATAAACTTACAGAGATCTACTCAGACAGGACCTTCCAGCCTTTGCCTGAATTTGAGCAGGAAGAGGATGATGGTGAAATAACTGAGGACTCCGATGAAGATTTTATACAACCACGTAGAAAACGCCTAAAATCAGATGAGAGACCAGTGCATATAAAGTAATCTAATGATATGGACCTAAAATTTATTGTAAAAACTGTTATTTAAGTGTTCCTGGAATATTATCATGCCTACAGTGGCCATCTTGCAGAAGCTGATAGCTTTTTAAACAGTATTAGATAACAAAAAACACTTGTACAGAAAAACATTCGCATCAAAAGGGGAAAAAAAACCTGTATTGTAAATTTTTGGTGGTTTGTATTTTTTTTTCTTTGATTACTTGCTATATTCTTTCTTTTCCTGATGGAGGGGACACACTCATGCTGGTCTCACAGACAGAGGTGGAGGAATGTTGAAGAGAAGCAGATGTGATAGGAGATGTTCCATGTACAGATAAGACTGTAGTGGCACCACCTGCAGGACTGGACCCACTCAGTGACTGTGTCCTGCATTACACTGCAGTGCAAACTGTGAGCAGAGCTCCTGAAACCCCCTCTGTGTCCACTCAAGTGTGTGTTGGTCGTTGCTTTGATCATCCCATTGAAGCAGGACTGTGAATAACTGATCTTCTGTGTCCATCCAGCCGTTGACATTTTGCTTTCTTTACTCCATTTCATGTATAGCAAAAGGAAGAAGAAAGAAAAATCATTAAACTGTTCTGAATGGGCGAGTGCAGGAATGGGAGGCAGATGAAAGGCTAAGCTGGTGGCTCCAATCCCTTTCAGTAGGACAAGGTGTATTTATTAAACTCCTGTGCCCAGAACATTTTAATGGCATCCATGGCAGAAGTCTCAGCGTTGTCATCTGTCCCTGACCCCCTGACGAGGCAGAATGTTCTCTCCAGTATTCATTCTCTGCTTTTCTGTACTTAAAATGTAGACTGAAGAGGTAATAACTGGTTGGGGTGTTTTTCCAGTCTTCCTAAATATCAGTTTCTAATAAGACCACTCGGCAAACAATAACCTATTAACTACCAAATGTGTAAAATTTCCTGTATTCACTTTGTCTTATTTGTAAATAGTGAATTGAGATTTCTTGCAGGTCAGCAACATTTGCTGAACTGTTTTTAAGCTAATATGTATTCTTATTGATTGTTCCTATCAAGAAAAGATTTGTAATATATGCTATTTCTAACATTGCATTCATTTTGAGGTTCTGTCTTATTTTTCTTAGAGTACTTCTCAGAACTTTCTTCAGAAGCAGCTTGTGAGGGAAATGTGCAGGAAGATTGGAATCAGTCTGAGTTTGGGTTGCCTGTCCATCCATTGAACAAAACACTTGCACAGGGTTTGGCCTTGAGTGGTTTTTGGTCAAAGAGTGAGAACAGAACAATTTCCCAATTCCCTCAGTAACCCTTGGGGCACCCCTGCAGTGCCTTCCCTTGCACTGCCTCCATCCCAGCATTCCTGGTTAGAAATCATGGAATCACAAGGAGTTACAGCTCCGGAAGTTGTTTTCGTTACCGACACGAGTCAGTGCTAGAAATAAATACAATTTCTAGCCTTCATGTTGATCTTGTTAAAGGAAGTTGAAGAATTCATGTAAGCAATGAGCTCGAGATGGCAGACTCTGAGTTTGCCATCGTTTGTGTGGATCCAGCAATTCTGTGGGAGATCCCTGGGGGTTTGGTGTGCTCAGCACAACAATTCCTGTGACATTGTACACGCTTTACCATCATGGTAAAGAGAAATATTTTAGCACAATATCAAATTGAGAAATGCTCTCAGCAGTTTTTATGCAAATCACTGGTTTCTTTTATAAGAACCAGGTCTGTGTACCTTGGGATTCTCTCTATTGCAATAAATGAGGGGACTGAAAATGTTTTTAACTTCCAGCTCACTTCTTCACTCAAATGTTACACTTCAAACTCAAACTGGTTGTTTTTTTTTAAATTTCTTAGACATTAACAGTGCTGTTTTAAATTTAATTTTTACCAGTTTGTATGTGAAAGGAAAAGGAATTCCACTTCAACATATTAAATTGACAAAGAGCAACAACTTTGCCTGTGGAAAAGCTGATGTGTGAATAGGACACTGGTAGTGACAAGGGATCATTTCATGGCTCTGTGTATTGCCTATTTATGCATTTCTAGTTTCTCAGCTTCATTTTGCAAAAGGAATATTATTAAAATTATCATGAAAATAAGATTCTGTGAACTCTCTTCACTCGGGGCTCCTGTTTTTGTGGCACTTCTGGTACCTTCAGGCTTCACCTTTTGCGCTCTTCCCTGGGCAGCAGCTGGGGATTGGATCCTGCAGAGACCCTGGGGATGGGCATGGGGGATCCCAGGTGGGGCTCAGGAGACCCCAGGGGGTCCCAGATGGAGCCCAGGGGATCCTAGCAGAGCTCAAGGGATCCCAGCATAGGACAGGGGGATCCCAGATGGAATTCATGGGATCCCAGCAGAGTTCAGGGGATCTCAGGTGGAGCACAGTGGGAAGGACTCACCCCAGACCCTCCAGGGAGGCTCGTGCCCCCCAGCTGCTGCAGGACCAGGACCCTCTGCTCCCCAGCCAGACCCCAGAGCAGTTCCCAGTGTTTTGGGACAGCCTTTCCTTTGAGGTGGCCTCTCCAACACTTCAGTCCAGGTGGAGAACTTGGCCAGCTCATGCTCAGCATGTTGTGCACACCAGGAGTGCAGCTGAGCTGGACCTTGCTGAGCCTGAGTTCTTTCCCTGCACAGACCCCAGCGACCCTCCAGAGCTGCTCCTCCCATCCATCCCCAGCGCTCAGTAGGATGATGTGGAATTTTGAATGTGTGCAAGAAATCTCAAGTGTTTCCTTTATACAAGGAAACAAAACATTCTCTTCTTCTTCCCCTTTCATTTTTGATCTCCCAAAGCAGCAGTTCAGTGATTGTTTTGAAAGCAGCAAAGTTCTATTTGAAATTATTTGAAAGGGTAGATAAGCTCTGCTAATCCCTTCCCTGATCCTGTAGGCTGGGTGTTTGTCACAGAACTGGGAACAGTTTGCTCAGTGGAAACAATTTTTGGTGTAACTCATTAGTGGGTTTGTATTAATAAGCCACATTAATTCTCTGGGCATCTCTGTGCCAGCTGCTGGGTGTGCAGAGCGTGAGTGGCTTTACCTGGGGAATCAGAGCACAGTTTACATCAGGAAATCTGTAAAATCGGGGCGGCAGGAGGAATCTGGCACTTGGTGCAACTCTGCTCTTATTTAAAATAACTCCCAAAAATCTGTGTCTCCATTTTGGCTGAGAATTTTTGTTGTCCCTCAAGTTTTGAGTAAATCCAAAGAAGGAAAAAGCAATTTGAAATGAGAGTGCAAAGTGCCCAGTGTGAGCAGCTGTCCTGCCATGAATTCCTGCTGATGAGAGGGAATTCAACAGCTAAATGGGCTCAGGGCTTTTATTTAGCTGTGCCCTGGAATTAACTGGCCTAGAGCACAATAAGGCAGAGCTATTGTCCAAAAAAAGGGGATTTCCCCAACTTCTGCAAACAGAAATGCTCAGTTAAGTGTGGAGATGTTGTTCCTCTGTGGGGTGTCACTGTGACACTTCACTGTGACACTCTTTATGCTGGGTTAAACATTTCAAGCAACTGGAAAAGTCCCTAAAATGAGTCCAAATTTCTGGTTTATCACCTGGTTTTGGAAAAGTTTAGGTTATTGCAACAGTATTTTGAATCTGTTTGTGTGGTGTACTGGGAATTGGCTTTTCCCAGTTGGCTTTTCCTTGTTTTTCTCACTCTCTTCCTCAGAAAAAAGCAATAAAACTGCTTTGTCATTTGCCTGTCAGCATGACAGGAATCCTTTCCTTCGGATAAGGATTTTATAGGGAAGTTTGTATGCAAATCACAAAGCCTAGCTTTTAAAAACAAAGTCTGCAGCAGTTCCTGACAATATAGAGTGTGGCATTTTATTTTAAAAAATTGGGGAAAGTTCCATATTTTTTTAAGAAGTAGCTGTTTGAGCAAATAATGGAGGTACTTTTTTTAAAATAAAAATGTAAATGCCACAGTTTACACAGATGGCACGTATGGATTGTATCTTTGGGTATGGTGATTTGTCTTCTCAAAGTGTGTGTGCAGTAACTCTTCCATCTACTTCCACTTGGCTTATGGGGATCCTTTTTTCTCTGCTTTCTGATGCATCAGGATTGAAAGAGCTTTCCAAAATTGCAGTTAATTTGGGAATCTTTATTTTAAGTGGACTAAGAAATGTATGAAATGCAGTTTGGGCCTTGTCTGTTGGATGAAATCACAGCTGGAGGCTGCTGGCTTTAGAATTTATTTAAGAGAGGTACTGGAATATTTTGTGAGCTGGAGACTTTGGCAGGATTCAGTCTGGAGTGAGCTCCCCTGGCACACCTGTGCTCACCTGCACTGGGGGATTTTTAGGCTCAGAACACCAGGACACATGTAAATAATCCTATACAGATTTGTGCAGTGCAAAGCTTGTTTTACATGTAAACATTCTCCTGGAAGGGTTAAATCATGGCATTCTTTGATTCTTCAATTATTTCCTGCTTCCAGTACTGGAGCTGGCTCATTTTGCACATAATAAACTTGCCTCATCTTTTAATATGATTCTTAAAAAAACCCCAAGTGCTGTTTCTGTGATATTGTATTATCTGAATCATCCTATTTAACTTTTTTTTTAAAAGTTATTGTTTTGAATTGTTCTGTTCCTGTTTTTGCTGGTGTGTAATTAAAATCAAATTTTTCTTTCCCTGGTTATTTAATATTTTAGCTGCCTGTAAATATTTCTTGTTAAGTGCTCTGGAATGTGCTGTAGACGTTGTATTAGCTCAGTTTAAAGCATTGTTTGGAACCCATTTTGGTTGCTTATTTCTATTAAATTAGAAAAATCATTCTTTCAATTTGCGTTTCTTTCTTGCACATCATCAGATACAGATCCACACCTGGCACAAGACTTTCCTGACAACACCTGCAGTGTGGAAATAGGGTGAAATTTGGGCTGCAGGAGCCCAGGTGAGCCCAGCTGAGGCTGCAAAAAAAGATTTGTCACATTTATCTACGCCTGGGCATGGGACACAAGAGTTGGGAGGTCTCTGGACATTTTGCATGCAGTGAAAAAGCTGCACACCTGGAATTTTGCTGTGTTCCCTCACCTGGAGCTGGTGGATGTGCCTTGAGCTGCTCCCACTGCTGTAAAATCCCAATTTTTGCGTGGATGTTGCTGCTGGAGCCGTGTCCTGGCTTCCCTGCTCAGAATCAGAGACAGAACTGAGCTTTGCAGGTCTTGGGCTGGGCCCAGCTCAGCCCAGCTCAGCCCAGCAGCTGGAGCAGGGACTGCTCTGACAGGAGCCAGGAGGAAGGGGACTGAGTCTGCACCTGTGAAAAACAGGATAAAGAATTATTGTAAAGTTTAGTAAGGGATAAAATAAGAGACAAAACTCCAGTGTCGGATTATGGCTTTTTCTGAACCACAGATGGGGCAACTGAGAGGTGTTTTAAACATTTTTGTTCTATTTTTAGTCTTCTAAACCGTCAAAGAAGATTTTTTTTCCATTTAAGAAAGAGGGGGAAATGTGGGAAATGGATTTGTAGAAAATTCTCCAAACCTGACAGAAGGCTCACACAGTGTGCATCCGTATGCAAACACTGAGATAAGAAATGGTGACTTAGAAATGCCACGGAATGAGACAGACATTGTTGAGAGAGAAATGGAACTGGAAACAAGTTTCAAAAAATTTTTCTACAAATCCATTTCCAACAGCCAAAGAACACATATGTACATACAGACAGTGTTATCTTTATACCATCACATGCAGATTCATGTGTTTCATGCATTATTCAAACATTCTTGTGAATTTTCTGTTGTTTTGGGAACTCCTTTGTTTGACTTCTTCACACTGCATGACGTCCTGGGTGTCAGGTCAATATATTTTATTTCTTCTTGTGTCTCCATCCTGCTGTTTCACATCCGCTGATAAGATTTTAGTGTGTCCTCCTTAAATTTAACATGGTATTCTCTAATTCTCTCTGAGTCCTCCAGTACTCTGCTCCGTGTCACAGTTATCACTTGGACAGGTTGGTCAGTGGATGGCCTTGCACTCCTTTTAGTTACACAAAAGCCTTTTTTTCATCTTATATTTTGCTAAGGTCTATAAAATACACTCATCACACCATTATTTCCATAAGCAATACATAGATATTATATTCATTACACTATTATTTCTATGACCAACACAGTGCATACTTTAGTATATTATATATGATATGATATGATATGATATGATATTATATTACATTATATTTATTATATTTATTATATTATATTATATCTGATACTATTTCTAAATATTTATAATCACTAACAGCATCTAATACAATACATAAAAAATCTAATACATAAATGTGAAAGCCAGTATTCTCTGGTCATTTTCCACACATCTCAGCTAAAGCTCCCTTGGAATAATTTTTCTGCAGCCAGTGAGGGAGAGCTCTGGTACCCTGGAATGCCTCCCAGCCTGGGGTGTGTCTGAACTTCCAAAACCCAGCTGAAGGCTCTGATCCAGGCAGGTCTGTTATGTACCCACAGCTCCCTTCAGGCTCATAACAAACTCCAATTTTTCTCTCGCTCTGTGTTTATTCTTTGAGTGCCTGAGGTGGCTGAGTGTCACAGAGGCTCCTTGATGAGAGCTGTGTTCCAGGAAAAGGTTCAGTGAGCTTCACTGAAGCTTCTGTTCCTGCTGAAACAAAGCACACCTGCATTCACTGCTGCACCTGCTGGGCTCTGCCCCCTGCCCAGGGAACAGCTGTGCTGGAATGCATGAAATAAAAACCTTCTGAGTCCCTCAGAGAGAGAAAGGATTGAGTTGGAGCCTTTACAGAAACTGGAATACATCAAGCTACACAGACACAAAGCAGGAGTGTAAGTTTTAGTTTTAAGTACAAATATATCTCAAATGCCTGAAGAGACTGTGGTAGCTGTAGAAGCCCTAAAATTCAGCAATGTTACCTTTCACAAAATTAACTTAGCTCCAGACATGACAAAAACATAGCAGGACATTGCTTGCATTTCTAGATAGAACAGATAGAACCATCTGCATGAACAGACAGAACTATTTGTGTCGATTTTGGGTAAGAACTGACACTGCTTTTTCACATTGGAATTAAGCTCAGATAGGTGTACAAAGAATATTTTAGAATCGTGATTTTAGCTGATTGGATGGTTTATGAATAAAATCCCCCTGTACTGGGGTGAAAAAAAAAAAAGGGTAGTAGCTTCTGCTGCTTCTGCTCAGAACATCAGGACTCTATGGCAGAAAATTTTTAATTTTTTTACTACAGACTTTAATAATCTGAACTCCTCGTCTTCGAGGCTGATGTATTAATGCAATAAACAACTTTACACCAACCAACAGCTGCTCCTATCGCTTTGCAGACCCAGGATCCAGGCAAAACTCACCACAGGTGGTTTGCACCTGAACTGTTGCACTTTCAGCCCAAACCCTGGCAGCACAGCTGGTGTGGCTCTGCGTGGGCACGAGGGGTGTGAGTGCCCTGCTCAGCCTCCCTGGAGCTGCCAGAGCAGCAGTGAGGAGGAGGATGCCTTGAGGAGGATGAGCTAGAACAGAGGCTGGACAGAGTTAAAGAATAAAGCAGAGATTTATGAAAAGGATCTCCTCAATGGATCCACCTTGGGCAGCACAAGAGCCCGGCCAGGGCTGCCCCCAAGATAAACCAAAATGGTCACAAAATGCATGACTGGTTACGGGGTCTCTCACTTTTATAAGTTCTGGTCCATTTGCATATTGGAGTTAATTGTCCAATTCCAGCTTTAGCCCATGCAGTTCCATCCTTGTTTTTCTGTCTTCAGTCCATGTTGTTTGTGCTCTTGGGCCTGAGATTTGGATCATTTGTCCTTGGTCCCCAGCAAGAGCAGGAATTGTTTTGTCTCCCTGCTCTGCGCAGAGAGCTCACCATCCCATAATATGAAGCCCAGACCCACACACTAAAGCCGCACAGAATCTGAAAAATAGAAAAGCTAAAACCTGAGGCATCAAGGTCTCAGGGGGGGTTAGTTTCTCTTTGCCAGGTGCTGCCTGGCTGTGTCCAGAGCAGTCCCAGCTCCACCAGCCCATCTGCTGCAGCTCTTTGGGTGCCTGCAGTTGGCCTTTGTGGCTGGGCTGGCATCTGGCATTTGCAGCTCCTCTGTTTGACTCCGCTCAGGCTTGCTTGGATTTTCTTTCTCTTAATGCCCTGGGTTTAATTCTCCTGGTTTTAATTAATTCTCCTGGCTTGCTCCAGTGACACTGAGCTGTTCACCCCATCACATAGTTGCCAATTTTCACTTCAACCCAGGGTGAAAAATCCCATCCCAAAATCCTACCAAGGATTAGAAACGGCTGCTAAACTTTCAACCCCTTGCTGCTATTGTAGAATTCACATCTGTTACAGAGTCCCAGGAAGGTTTGGGTTGTAAAAGGCTTTAATCTCATCCAGTTCCACCCCTGCCATCATGGCAGGGACACCTTCCACTGTCCCATCTTGCTTCAAGCCCCATCTAGTCTGGCCTTGGACACTTCTAGGGTGTGGATATCTCTGCAGACACAGATGATTTTGGAGTTACTGCTGTCTGAGGGTTGAGATGATGGGTCTGGATCTCCTCCAGAGCACTGGCCTTCCTTCCCCTGATTAATCTCTCTCCTTATGTGAGCTCTGGGTCACTCCAGTGCCTGAAAAGGCTCACAGGGGCTGAACTGCACTCCTGACTGTTCCTGTGTCCTTTACTCAGTGTTGGTGGAGGAGATGGAGCAGAACAAAGCACTTAAGGCTGAGCAAACAGCTCTTGGCCAAATTACCTTCCTCTGCCTCCCACGGGCTGCAGCACAGTGCTGGCTGATCTCCACCCGGGTTAATGCTTAGGAACCAGGATAATGTTTGCTAAATTAGCAGGGTTTAAAACCAGGGATACAAATTCCTGCTCCTCTCATTGACACATCAGATGAGCACATTTAGCACAGAGCCTCACTGGGCAGATGGCAGAAGGCTGGGTCACAGTGGCTGGGGGTGCTGGGGGACCCCTCGCCAAGGAACAGTGCTGGGCTGTATCTGCTGCTTCATCCTGGCACTGATGTTCATCTTCCATCCTTGGGATTGTCCAAGGCCAGGCTGGAGAGGGCTTAGGATAGTGGAAGGGATAGTAGAAGGTGGCTCTGACCATGGCAGGAATGGGATGAGCTTTAAGGTTCCTTAAAAACCAAACTATTTTGGGATTCTGCTGACTGGCCATTTTTGCACCCCCAGCACTGCCCAGGGGCAGAAATTGCTGCTGTTTGTGCAGCTCAGCCCCTGCCCTTCCTCAGCCACAACCTCTGGGGCTGGGCAGGATGAGCCACCCCAACTAAACCTGCCCAGCAGCTGCCTGGCTCAGAGTAACTTTACTTTTTTATCTTGTATATCAGAGACAAAACCAAAAGCCTTTTGTGGTGGAAGAATTGCTCAGAAGTGTTTGGAAATCTCATCTTTTGAAGATTTCCACCACTGTGGGAATATGGGGCTGGGATACACCTTTGGGCTGTGCTGTGGACAATGGGATCTGCATTGCAGTGTGCATCTGTTTCAGATCACCTTCCTGTCAGGAAAGAGAGAGCTCTGAAAGTGCCTGGAACCCCCACCCATTTGGAATTTTCTTTTGGAGCCATGCTTGGTGCAGTTCTGCAGCTGCCACCAGGCACAGCAACACGGTCTGTGCTCTAGATCTGACAGGGGGTTTGCTACTGACTGCAGAAGGAGGTGCAAAATTCCAAACTGAGTCTTGTTTCCTCTCAGAGTCTGTGTCTCCAGGCAATCCCAAATGTAAACTCTTCATCCTCTCTATTTGCACTAAATGTTTCCAGAGGAAGGAGAT